CTCAGCATAGTTGAGGGCTGATAAGGGGGAGGAGAGAAATGTAGGAGAGGAACCTGTTGCAACTGAAAATTTAGCTTTCGTTTACACGAGCTGTCCTTAAAAATAACATGTAGCTGCTGTCTTGTTGCTACCTTGGCCTTGATCCAGTGAGCACGTTTTAATCTTGCCTATTGTTGATGTATACGTTGTAAAATCTTATTTGAAAATCGAAGTGTCATGATACCCACTGCGGTAAAATCTATCAAAGGCTCTTATCAATGTGTGGTCGGGATATCAGTGGAGGAATTAAACATTGCTGATATTATTTTGAGTACAGGAACTACCTTTCGCTTTGAATGGATATGGGTTTTGTAATGAATGAGTGAGGAAAAGATAAAGATAAAGATGATTATAAACGTATGGCTGACCAGAGTACCCTAGGAAAATGTTCATTCATCATTTCCTGACATTCTGAGTTTATTGTTTCTGCAGGTCGAATCATCCCCAAGTCATCTACAAATGCACACGCACGCAGACACAAGGTCTATATAAGTACTTACATAGACCTTGCGCAGACATACCACATGCATACCACGCACGCACGCACACCACAACAAACACCACACACACAGAAACAGGCAGACACACAACAGACACGACACTCAGACAGACAGACAGACAACACACACACACACACACACACACACACACACACAAACACATGTTTTATTACATTTATTAATATAATTAATACTGTGAATTCTTTGTTTTAATCAGTTGAATATATAAATTGGCATGAAGCAGCAGCTTCTGGAGACTATGAACTCTGATATCTATCACCAATTGTTGCAAGAGAATTCAGATATTATCTGTGCAAAGATGGCATAAATGATGTAACACAAGATATTATCTCCTATGAATTTAGTCCATATTTTTGTTATCTTTTTGAATATGAATTAGATAAACATTGTGCAATTAATCATAAAAAAACAACAATGGTAGTGAATTTTTATTTTTCTTCCTTTCATCTCATGAGTCACATGTCTCCATCCTCTTTGGTGTATAACAAACCTTAGGTCACAACAAATTATAATATTTATAAATAGGACATCATATTCAGTATAATATATATGGTTTATTTTTCTTATAATTATACATACAGGACACCAAATATACATGTATAACACAACAAGAAACAAGTTCCATTCTTTTGAACAAGGCTACTCGACCTCAAGAGGTGAAGTAAACCGTCTCACAGTGGCACTTTTGCTGCAAAACTTGTTATAATCAATTCGCATAATCAGCTGTGAGGTGTACTGTGACCCCTGATGGAGCTTGAGGTTGGAGAGGATCAAAAATAGCTGAGCAGCGGCACGTTCAAAGGCCTCGCTGAACTCCCTAATCTGTTTTGCCCTGTCAGTAATAGATGACTGCTCCGAGCTGCTGGTAGAATCAAAACGAGGAACTCTTTTGCTGTCGCTGCTCCACGTAGTTTCCATTATGGTACAGAAGTTATGGATGAGCTTCAAGAGTCGTTGCAGTGCGTTGCTGACCATCTGATTGTTGAGGAAACACTGCGCAGTGATGGACACCAAGAAGTTGTGGTGGGTGCTAGCCAGGTGCTGATAGTCACGTGTCTTCCCAATCTCCTCAATCAGCTGCCAGTATTGCGATTCCAACACATCAACCTATGCAGGAAGAGGAACAGAGAGTGAAAATGCAAACAAGTAAAATAACATCATCTTTCTGTTTTTACAGTTATATAGGCACTATCAAGAAATTATTTCTGTACTCGTATCTTTTCTTAATAAATGAACAATCAGAGAATAAGTTTTTTTCTATTTACTTAGTAGCCTACTTGATTAAGAAAGAAAAAAGAAAAAAAAGTACATCAACAAATCAAGAGAAATTCAAATTAACACAAGAAAAGCAGAATAAACAACTAATTGAACTAACCTGCAAATAATACTGGATATTGTCAATAAGGAGATTCATATGGTGTCTTAGTGCCCACTGCAAAACTGAAGTTGCAGCATCTCTGTAAATATCAAATAGCAGAAGTCAACAAAAACATTATCTTTGATTTCCGAACCTAGAAGCAAGAGCAATCACAAAAATATAAACACCCTTGCTATCAAGAACCTTAAAAAAAAAATCTACTTGTCTCATGAATTAATTTCAATATTACAAGGTCTGAGCATAAACCACATCATTACTCATTGTTTTTCGCCCTCATCTGCATGATCCAAAGCTGTTGGAGGCGGTACTGAGCCCGTCGTACATCCAGGAGGAAAGTGAAGATTGCATTATACTTGTCTTGTACAGCTGGTGTGAAGAGCTTGTGTAGCGGCCACTTGGCATTGTAGTCTAGCCTCAAAATCTTCCAGCTTCGTTCACCTGAAAAAAGAAAAGTAAATACTGGTAGAATTAAAGGGGTCTCTTACACTTAACCTATTTAGCTATATATTTCAAACATAAACTGAAAGTCAGTAAATAAATCATACTTATTGGATTTATTTTTTAGCTTTACCATATTCAATCTTGTTCAAACAATTTGCCATTTAATTGAATATCTAACTTTCAAATGCCCTATATACTAATTCTCTTCTTACTCCATATGCTAACAAATTTATCCCAAAGTGAAAAACAACTTCCCTCACTTTGTCCCCTGTCACAATTAAACATCAATGGAAACCAACTTGAACACAAACAAATATTTTCTTTCTTACCTTGCTGAATGCTTGCTGGAGCTGATTTTGGTGACTGTGGCTTAAGAGAGAGGGTAAACTTTTCTAACATTCCTTCTTCTAGAAGCACCTGTTGACCTGCTAACTGGAACAGCCCATCCACATCTAGAAGGGTGATTGATTCTTTTATGTAAGTAATTTCATACTAGACATAAAGGAAAAACTGCATTAAAAAGCAAGAGGAAGAAGTCAAAACAGTGCTGAAAAATATTAAAACAATGTATATTAACCCAATGCTGATGGGAAAATGTTGCGTTCACTTTCATATTGTTTTGTTAAATGTTTCTGTACATAGATGGCTCTGCCAGTGCTTATCCAAAAAGGAGTCAATTAGTAGATCTTGCGACCTCACCTTTCCTTGAATATTGAAATGTTTTTTTTTTTTTTTTTACTAATGCTATCAATATTGACTGATACACAATATAATTACTATATTGTTATTGACACTACTAACTGCTGAATTAAAGGAAATATTATCAAAAATAAAGGAAAAAGGTAAACGGTGAGACAGGTAATTCTCGTAATTGGCTCATTGGTGACTTAGTACTTGTGGAGCCATTTATATGTAAAAACAATTACTAAATTTAATACACAGTGGGCATGGCATGTACGCACATGCCATCCCTGGTGGCAAGTGGTTAATGCAACTTCTTGCCTACTGAATATTAATTGTTGGAAAATTATTACTAATACATACAGTATCAAAATCCCAAATGGGAAACTTCAAAACCCAAACTCCATTATCAATATCCCAAATGGAAAGCTTCAAGACCCAAACTACAACGAATTAAACTACTTCAACACAATAAATCAAATAACCAAGACACTTACTGGTAGCAACAGAAGTGTTATGAAAGAAAGGTGTTATAGCGGGGATTAACGTCTGGTAGAGTTCACCTCGACCAAGGAGGAACACAGCTTTTAGGTCTGCCAGTTCTGCCACCAGTCCTGCTTCCAGAACTAGGGTCCAAAGTTGCTGCAAGAATATGCATATTTTTCATTTTTTTAGATTTTTCAAAACGGTGTCTTTCCTTGTATTAGTTAAAAGGACATATTGAGAAAATATATGGCTTCATTATGAGTCATTATGCTTACTAAGTTTATATTCATTAGGTATTCTCTGGAGTTAACCAAACATTTTATACTAAATTTCAATATTGGGGAAGCAGGCATAACTGACTTGTATTTAAATGTTACTGTTTTGAGAACTGAAATTTTGTAAATAGCTAATCTACCAAATAAATGAGCTTAGCTTACCTGAGACACACAGTGCCTTATAGTTTCAATAACTTGACTAAACTGAATGATGGAGAAGGTAGGAGTATTTGCCAAACTCTGAATCAGCTGCAAAAATTCTTCCTCCCGACTCTTGAGGACCAAACCACAGAGTGACGATACCGATGATGCATCCACACTGCCTGTGAAAAATGATGCTCTGATATTACATCATGTTCCTAAAGAAAAGCTATTGTTAACCGGTACAACAAACATTGTGAAAACTCTTATTACAAACAGCACTAGAGACCAAAACCCAGCACCTTTATCCTAGAGGCTTACCATTTTTTCCTTCCCGTTCGAAAATGAGAATTGATTCTCCAATAAATAAAATCTTCTCTGCTACAAGGAGTGGAATGTGATTGGGCAGCATTTCCAACCTCAACTTGCATTCTGTCTTTTGAATCACATCTTCGCTTTCCTCCAGGCTCTGACAATGTCAAATATTTAGAGATAATGTTTTCATCAAGAAGATACTATTACCTGGACTATTTCCCACATTTTACTAAACAGTTGATGTCAATTGTCTTTACTTTTCAATCATCTTAATGCTAATACATTTTGTTACTTTTAATCTTAGTTTATACAATCTGTTATGACAATATTACAAGTTAACTGTACTCACCAAACCTTCCACATCTGGTGTCTGATCAGCTTTATCACTAGACACTGCCTTAGATGTATGTATAAATAATTCATTATGAGGATCCAGCAACTGTCCATACAAAAGCCAGTGTGTCAGCTGATCATACAAAACAGAATGAACTGCTTGTTCCACTCTGATGGCAGAAAATATATATTAATGTTAGTAATCTGACCATGGAAGACAACAGCATAGGTATGATGACTGCTACAAAAACCTTGTAAGATATCAAGAAAATCTGTTTTTGATATTTCATACATTGCAAGCTGGCAGTTGGTATTCAATGAACTGCCAATAATCAAGAAAATTATTTCTTCAAATTTACCAAACATTGGGAAAAGGTACTAACCTCATCA